CATCAGCACGAGTGTTATCAACCACTTTGACATGGATTATCTTTAAGTCATACTCTTGTAAGTGGATGTACAATAGTGGGCAACAATACTCAAACCATGCCACCAGGATGGAAATTACGCTCTTCAGCCTTGCGGTCATAAACATTTTTCATTTTAACTTGGGATGAATTCAAATTGTCCTGAGCAAATTCACAAGCACGTAAAAGTCTGGAACAAAACTTGGAAACATAATCCAGTAAGTGCATTTATTTCGAATCATCTTCCAACCATTGTTCCTTCAGCAACTTCAAAGGACCACACACTGAATAGCCAAACACCAACTCAAACGGGCTAAACCCTAATGAATCCTGAAATTACTCACAAACAGCAAATAATACTAAATTAACTCCTCCATCTCAATCCTTTTCGTTATCGAGACAGTAAGACCACATCATATTTTTCAAGGTAGAATGGAATCTCTCAAGAGCACCTTGCGATTCTGGATAGTACACACTAGATTTGATATGTTTAGCACCAAACTGATAAACAACTTGTTGAAACAATTTCGACGTAAAATTTGATCCCTGATCAGACTGAATTTCTTTGGGCAAGCCAACAAAAGTAAAGAAATTAATCAAAGTCTTAGACATCTTTTTGGCTGAAATGTTTCTCAAAGGGATAGCTTCAAAGAATCGAGTGTTTGCACACATGATAGTCTACAAATACTGGTTCCCTGATCAAGTTTTTGGTAAAGGCCCGAACAATCAACAATCACACGACTAAAGGTTTCTTAAAAAGCTTGGATACGTTTCAAAGGAGCAACAGGAATTTTCTGGTTAAGTTTTCCGACCAACTGACCGGTATGACAAGTTTTACAAAACTGAAAAACATCTTGCCTAATATTTGACTAAAAGAAATGACTTATAATTTTGGCATATAGCTTGTTGACACCTAAGTGACCTCCCATGGGGAGTTCATGGGAAACTTTTCATATTTAGAATGATATTCTTTGGGAACAACAATTTGATAAATTACTGTTTTCAGTTTTTCTGAAGATGGCACACCTGGTGGTCTCTATTTCCTCATAAGCACACCATTTTTGAAAAAAATTAAGCATTTTGAACTTTCTCCAGTTCACCTTTTGGGAGTACATATTTAAATAGTGAAGAGATCTGTAAATACTTTTCATGTTCAGCGATCAGTTTACTTTCAGCAAACGGAACTTCACCATGTGAACCAGATCCATCGTGTCCATCATTATTAATCACCGAGGAATCATCAGTAGGACAATCATCCACATGATTCCTGTCGGGTCCAAAAAATGTCTAAGACAAATCTATAATATCGTCCTATGGATATGTATCTATCATTTGTTTTTGGATTAACTTCTTAGCCTGAGCTCGAGTCACAGTACACGAGGGAAACGCATCGGGATTCTCCTCAACAACAACTGATGCTAAATAAATGTTACGAAGAGGAACATTAATAAAGCCGTCCTCAATACCCTGAGCAATATTAGATTCACCAGCGGCAGTACGCCATACCAAAGACAATATACCTTCTAACAACAATGATTGAGCCACCCCAGTATCACTTAGAGTATGTATGGGTATGGGATTGACAG